GACATTAATTAAGTATTAATTTCATACCAGTCATATTTGAAGCTCCATCACTTCCAAAATGAATTATTTGATGATAGGATATCTCATTTGAAATACAAAATGATATGATTTGGTTATAAATATTTTCTCCAACAGTTGAGTCTAGATTAATCAAGCCCAAATACCTCATAATTGGCATATTATTAGCAATACATTTTCCCACAATTGCTAAATATTTATCATCACCAACACTATTAGCTTCATCAATCATTACACTCCAATAAGGTGAAGAATTCAACTCATCAAAAAGTGAATTTTTTATTACAGAGGCTATACTATCTAAAAAATCAAATCCAGCTATAGAATTTTTATAACTTCCATATTTTGATTTAGATTTTGATGGTTTTTCTAATGAAGCAGGTTTTAAAGTAGAAATTTTATTGCTAATGTTGTTTTCAGTTTGTAAAGACATTAAATTACACAAATCAGGGTAAATTTTTTTAATGAAATATTATGTTTTGAACAAAGATAAATATTTCTCATTAATGCAGTCAGGAATTTTGCTAAATCGGGATGTGTAACAAACAATGTTCTAGAAAATTTTTCCCCAATAAAATTTCATAAAAAAGATTATGTTTTGAACAAAAATAAATATTTCTCATTAATGAAATAATTGACAATTTTTCTCCATTTGATTGTTCTGTATCTGAAACAAGTAATATTGATTCTGATTTTTTATGCTCATTGGTGTTTGAATGTGCTTTGATTTTATCTAACCTAAAAAATTTTGTACCTTTTGAAAAATTTGACATTCCATTTCTATTTCTACAAAGTTTACAAAAAATTAATGTTTCTTGATTAATTTCTTCAGATTCCAACCATGTATATCTATTGAACCAATCTTTATTGATATTTTTTCTATAATGTGAACTTTCTTTTGTTTGTTGTAGTTCTCCAATTTCACCACTATTATTTAATTCATCATCTGATGATTCAATAAGTTCTATTGTTTGAATTGAAATATTAAATTCTTTTTCAGGCATTTTATTTTTTTTAGAATTGGAATTTTCTTTTTCAGACCAAGATCTTTTTGGGTTATATTGATTTGACATTTTTAAATGAATTAATTATTAAAAATTTTTTTATTTTTTTTTTAATTTTTTTGAAATTGATAAAAATTGAGGCAAAAATTACAATGATTTATAATTATTCAAATTATGCAAAGCAAAATTAAGAATGAATCAAGACAATATTAAAATTACAAAATGAAGATAGTATATATAGTTAAAGAAACATGGTTAGTTAAGTTTCAAAATATCCAATTCCAAACAATATTAAGTTATATTTTCTTGGATAATATTAAGAGTTATTTGACAAAATGTAAATAGTAATAAAATAATGTTAAGGGGAGAAATTGTTTCAAAGCTAAGGTAGGGATTTTGTTTCAGCCGTGATTTGATATTTTTAATTTTCAATTACACGGATTTTTGGATTTTTTTCTGCACAAATTTTTAGTCACACAAATGCCGTGTAACGTGACACCCGCCCGTTCCGCCCGCTCAATTTTTCTCACTGGATAGTACCAATCAAAAACAATATAAATAAAGTACTAAAAGACAAACAGTAAATGAAATAATTGTAATATTTTACTTTCATCAATAAGTTAATTACCTTTTTTTCCTGCATGTTGTTGATCAGAAACATACAATAACCATATATTGTTATAGAAAATTTATATTGTTATAAATCAATACAATGATTATTAAACATGTTAGCCGAAATTGCCTCTCTTAATAAATGATTGTCACTGAATCCGAAATGCCAAAACTAGTTTTCTTTATAGCCGAAATTAATTAACATAATTGCTGAAATTTTCCAAAAATTTTTTCAAGTTCTTCAAGTCAAGATACACTAAGTGGCACAGCTTTTTATTTTCATTCATATAAAGCCAAAATGTTTGCCGAAATTACTTTTTTTTTTCTAAAAGTAAATTCGGGGCCATCTATAGTTGTATACTTGAAAATTTTTTTTGTGATAACTAGAAGTAAACATGTTAATTGCTGACCTATTACAAATTAATTTTATTGTCATGTGTAACAACCATCAAACCTCCCTTTGCCAAACTGAAAAAAAAACAGTCAAATATGTTGAGTACTTATTTCGATGAAACACCTTCTCAATCATACAGTTTACTTGGTTTCTACATTCATCGATCAAAGGAATTAGACTTTACATTTAATTTTCGTAAGGAATCTGACAAGTTAAAAAAGGATCTTGATCATATGATTGAAGTTGGTCCAAGTGGAAGGAGGAAAGCAAGCAAGCCAACTAAATAAAATTTTTAAGGCAATTTTTATTATTAATTTTTTTGATATCATCACTTTCTACGTGGCTGGTTGGCAGAGGAAGGCTGTACAATTCATACAAGATTCATTCTGCTTGCTGGATCTTTTCGTGTTTTGTCAAAGTACTGCATTTGGAGTTGTAAGACTTCTCTCGCAGGAAGGAATCCACACAACTACGGGGACACCTGCTTGCTGTCCACCTTATGGTCTGCTTGCCCATTGTGCCTGCATCCAGCCATGTTTGATATATGAAAGAATTTATATATTAGTTGATATATTAATTTAATAGGGACATAGGAAATACTTCAAGGATATTGATATATTTTGGAAAAAAATAGAAAGAGAACAAAATGAGGTTTCTTACTTAACCAATTTTCATGAGTTTCCTTAACAAAACTTGAACTTGTTTGACTGTATTTTTTTATAGTTACAGCTTAAAGCTTCTAGCTACATTTTAGATAATACACACAAAGTTTTTGAAACAGCTATTGAAAATATTCATTCCTCTATTGAGAATGTTAATGATAAACTGGTATTTTTTTTAATTAAAATCATTGGGAAGAATATGTGTGACAGTTATACATAGCTCATTGCATATTTTTACTAAAGGTACCCAAAAAACGTGCACAACCAACAAATAATGGAAGTTTAGATGAAAAATTGTATTGAATATGATTCATGAATAGTGTCTATCTCCCCTCTCATTTCACATAGTTGTTTGTATTGAAATATACTCTGAAAAAGGACTAAGGTTCCAAACGAATCGAACCGAATCAAATTCAAAAAAAACAGGATTCAATTAGTGACTCGATTCGAATTGATTCGAATCAAATCGGATTCCTAAAATTTTTTTAACGTCATATTAAATTTATATTTTTAATTTGATAATTTAAATTTATATTACACAGTGAATCTCAATTAGTGTGCCTTTATTTAATGAATACTAATGGATTGAGGTCTAAGAATGGTTTAATGATGATAAAATTCTTCTTGATGGACCTGGACACTTTACCGATACCCACTTTACCAACAAGACACTTTACTGACAGGACACTTTACTGACAAGACACTTTACTGACAGGACACTTTACTGACAGGACACTTTACTGACACCCACTTTACCAACAGGACACTTTACCAACAGGACACTTTACTGACAGGACACTTTACCGACAAGTATTGTGTTAACAATTTTCCAAGGACTGTGTGAAGATCTGGATAACTAGCTAAAAGTTTGGTTTTTTACAACAAGTTAAATCAACTGTTAATTAACTAATAACACCACTTATTATCCTTACTTTGCATCAAAAACCAGTTCATAAAAATACAATATAGATACATGTGTTATATTTTTTTTTTGTCTGACGAAATTGATAAAAATTGCATATTCATGTTATTTATTTATCAATCATTTACAAAAAACTTTTATTGACACATTAATTATTATCATTTTTATATATATACAAAAAAAAATTTTAAAATGAAATATTATGAGCAATGCCTCGAAGAAACTTTATAGTTGATCTAATGTTACGGTAAAGTGGGTGTCAGTAAAGTGTCCCAGACCCCTTCTTGATATGATATTTATTCGAATTTTTAATAATAACGGATTTCTTTGATATTAATATTAATATTAATGGTTGTGTGACCTATATTATTAGGGCCAGTGTAACCTATAGGGATGGGGACGGTTTATGTCACGTCCGGCGACGAATAATATTTTTATAATTGATCCGTGACGATTAATTACTAAATTATTAGTGACAATTAATTTGTCTTGTTTTGGCAATATAAATGTCACTTATAATTTAGTAATTAATCGTCACGGATCAATTATAAAAATAATATTCGTCGCCGGACGTGACATAAACCGTCCCATCCCTAGTAACCTACTATACTATGATCGGCATGGTCATACTTTGTTCATATGACTCACATATAAGTGATCATGGGAAGTCCCATTCATTTTATTTTCAAAAATCAAATATAATAGTAAAAACCTCAAAGTTTCATATACTTAAACTTCTTTGGGTGTTATTATGAAACATTTGTGTCTTCGCTTAGTAGTAAGTCATAAAAAAGTCACTAATTATGGTCCTTTTCCACCAATTATGGATTGCTTCAACCAACACTGTGTATCATTTAACCAGACTTTGTCTGAATGTAATGTGACCTTGTATCTATTTATTTTGTTATAACAGCAAGGTTTATTAACTATATGTTTTAAAATTTTACTTTGGCCTATGCTTTTTTATATAGAATTCACAATTATCACATTCAAAATCTAGATGCTTTGGTATGAACAATTACAAGAAAACAATCCAAATATTACTTTACTTCGAAGAATAGGTCATACATATCTGTTGCATGATGATAATGTTTCTTTGGAAAACTTTCCTCAACACAGTAATCTATCCGTTTTTGATAAAGAAAATAAAGAAAATCAAGGATTTTATTTATTAGCAAAAGTCGAAGGATTTCAGGCAGAAAATTGTACCAAAACCTGGGAAAAATGTATTTGTTTCTATGAGAACCAGAGCAGGAAAAACATTTTGTTATGCAGTATCAGCATTGATAAGATCTGGTCTAACAGTTGTATTATCTCCATTAAAGGCATTAATAGATGACCAATTGGTAATTATCTCTATTTAATAAGTATAGTAGACAACCTCAATAATATATATTAATTATTTTTTTTCCAATTAGATTGAATTTATAAACATAGGAATCCCATCTGCAAAATTATATAGATCTGAAAAGCAATCATTGACCTATCAAGAAAAAATTTTATCTGAAATTGATTCTGGATTAACTCACATTTTGATTGTCACTACTGAAAAATTTACTAATAATTTTACCTTTCAGAATATGTTAAAATCAATTAAAACTTCTAGAGGATTATCATTCATTGTGGATGAGGCCCATTGCATACTAAATTATGATGGATTCTGGTAAGTGTTTTTTATAAATAAAATTATAAATAAAAATATACTAATTAATTAATTTTATTTTCAGTGAAGGATATAATAATTTAGATTTAATTACAAGAGAATTTTCTGATTGTCCAATAATGCTATTATCTGCCACAGTTTCACCACATGATATAAATGCAATATGTAATAAAATAGGAATCAATGATGCAAATTTGTGTGTTGTTTGGGGAAGTAACATTAGGAGACAAGAAATATTTTACACTATACAACAAAAAAAATCAACATTTATCAATGACATTATTCATATTATTTCTTCATCCAATGATCAATTTATTATTTATGGACCAACTTATCATTCTTGTGATGAGGTATATGAAGTAATTCAAGAAAAGTTGCCAAATATTAAGGTTGGAAAATATCATGGAGATGTACAATCAGATAAACAAGAAGAAGTTTTGATTAACTTTAAAAAAGGAATTTTACAAGGTGTTATAGCAACTCCTGGTTTGGGCATGGGAATAAATATTATAGATATTTGTAAAGTGATTCATTTAGCATTCCTTTAAGCATAGGTATAAACTTTATTGTTCATGAAAAATTAAATGTCAGTTTTTTAAGTCATTGAAAAATTTTTTTTATTAACAAGAAAGTAGAAGGGTTGCAAGAGATGGAAACCCAGGCAAAAGTATTTTATTTTTTTCTCATTCAGACTTAGGCACATTATTTTCAGTAATAGCAGGTGGAAAAGAAAGGTATAAAATCATATATTTATGTTGCAGGAAAAAATTCATTATTTGTTATTCATATTCTCCAATATTTATTAATTTAATGTCTCCAGAATCAAATAGTGAATTCATAACTGAGAGAAATCATAAATTATTAGATATGATTTTTTTTTGTGAAAATCAGTATATCTGTTGTCAAATCTTATTATCAAAATATTATTCACAAGGTCAATCAATAAATAACACCTTTTGTAACAATTGTGACAATTGTACTTGTAGACAAAAGGATAATCCAATTCAATTTGATGTAGATGAGGATGCCCTGCTAATGGTAAAAATTGTGAGTATCCTTGTAAATGAAGTATCTGAATCAACACACACTGATATTGGATATGTTTATACTTCAGCCAATAATAGAGAAGTACATGCTAAAAAACTTTCAAAAACATCTGTTTACAATAATAAGTCACTTCATCCAGCAAAATATATAAATAAGCAATCACAGGCTCTTTTTTTGTTAGATGATTTGATTATTTGTGGTATTGTAACTTATAATATTATTTCAAAATTATCAAAAACTAAAAATTTTATTAGTGGAAAATATCATCTTTCTCATAACATGTTTATTAATGGTATATGTGAAGGTGCAGAAGATAAAGTAAAAGAAGGGAATTGGAAATATTTTTTAAAATAGTACAGTGCAGGACACCTAATCCCGCAACTTACTGCGCCACGACGACGAATTTTGGGAAAAAATTTCCAATCAAAAAT